TGGGACAACTATGACCTGGATGACTGAGAATCTCCATAGACAATCCAAAAAGTTATTATAATTTAGGCTCACCTGTGTCAATTTGTACTGAATGGTTCAGCACTACAAAATATTGGTTAACCAAATTATCCAGGATTAATTTTACATTGAAGTTGTCAGTTACATTGTCTTACATTGAAGTTGTCAATTTAACAAAGAATTTCCTGCTGATCAATTCTAAATCAAGCTGACATACACCAATAAAATGGTAATGCATGATAATTTTTTGTTTATCAAAATTAAACTTTTTTATGAAATACGAACAACAAATATTCATCAGTATACATATTTAATGAAGATCCAAGAGAAAGTAATACAGTGATGAATTTATAATAGAAAAGAATAGCTTTTATTAGAAAAGTTGAAGTAATTAATTTGAAAAATGTTGACATAATGTGGATTACAAATAGATCATCAAACTATACCCCTAAAATAGGGCTTCTCATTCTTTGTGATATTGTGCTGTACTAAAATGATAAATCAATTTGTGTGATAGCTATTAAAACTAATGGTTTCATTGGATTGGCTAAGAATAATTATTGTAATATTTTTTAATTTATACAACAAATAAACAAAGAAGATTGCAACTATATAAATAAAACCTTTTCATTGAAAGTGAACAATAAATTGAACACATTTAAAAGTGAGTTTCCTTACTTTTCCATAGTTCTAGAAAACTGGGTTTTATTTTTTTATTATTTTATAATATAAAATACAAAAGTATCCCACATAAAAGAATCATTTACCCATTTTACCATAATGCAAAAACTATACAATATGTATTCTTTTTTTACTTCCTGGAAGATCAGTCTGGATATAGGAGGCATATGAATTAACTTTTGTTTGCTACTATCTATATTGGGATTGCAACAGTGTTTTCTATTTGCTACATGAAAGGAATACATTAGAAAAGTAAGCAAAACCCTTAATCTATAACTATATTCTAAGGATATATGGCAGTGAAACATTTCTAACCAGGCTGAATCCATACAGAGTATTTTTGGAAAATCAGCCTCCTGCATATCCAAGCTGTTTTTTAAGAGGGATAGGAGACAGTCTATTCAGAAGACAATCTCTCTTTTTTAAAATAGCACCCTGAAGATCACAAACTATGCTTTGAGAGTACTTATTTCTCTAATGTAACTCATATCCAACACACTGAATGATTATTGTAAAATAAAAGGGGGAGACTTATGCCAGGACTAAAGGAAAAGTATTTTTTCTTATGTTTTTCTCAATGTTTTCAGTACTGTAATCTTAGAGGAATGATTATAGAGTTTAATGAGAGATTTTATACATTTTGTAATATATCATCCACCCTCCAAAATTCTCAATAGAGTGCCAATTTCTAATTAATTATTTTACTAATTTCTGTAATGCATGGAATGACAGCCACATTTTTAGGTAGATTAGCAATTACAATTAATTAATCACTAACAATGTCATTACTCAGCTTTAAATGAAGCATTTGTGTTACTTTAAGAGTAAGTTTATAAATGCTTTACAAGCATTTAGTGTAATTTTTATATAGTCGTCCTCAACTTACAACCAGTTGCTTAATGAAATTACAAATGGCACAGGAACAAGCCTTTTGTTTTACAAAGGCCAGAAGTGCTTTACTTCTGGCCTTTGTAAAATGTCATGCACCCACCCACCCACATGGCCACATGACTGCATTTTAGGCCCTTGGCAGCCAGGCTAATTCTGCCCACTACCAGCAGTTCGATCCTAACTGGCTCAAGGTTGGCTCAGCCTTCCACCCTTCCGAGATCAGTAAAATGAGGGCCCATAAACCGCTTAGAAAAAGACTAAGTGCTATTGCTAACTTGTCTTTATGGCCTGTTGCAGAGTCCCACAGTCATGTGGTATTTTTTACCAGTTTCCAGCAAAAACTGTCCATTTGGAAGAATGCTTAATAACTGTAGATTCACTTAACCATCATGATTCACTTAATGACTGCTGAAAAAAATATCAGGTTGTGAATGCCTCAACTTATGATCATAATGATTTACCACTGGAAATCCGTTTCCAATTACAGTCATTAATCAAGGATTACCTGTAAATTATTTTTTATTTCCAAGACATTTAGGCTCGCTCTACAGACAATTTCATAAAAGTTCTATCTTTAGTCCCTTATCCGAGAAAGCTATATTGCCTCACTCTGATGGGAGAGATGAGCCATGGTGGTGCAGTGGTTAGAATGCAGTACTGCAGGCTACTTCTGCTGATCCCAGCTGCCAGCAGTTTGGCAGATCGAATCCCACCAGGCTCAAGATTGACTCAACCTTCCATTCTTCCGAGGTCAGTAAAATGAGGACCCAGATTGTTGGGGGCAATATGCTGACTCTGTAAACTGCTTAGAGAGGGCTGTAAAGCACTATGAAGTGGTATATAAGTCTAAGTGCTAGTGCTAGTGCTAGTGCTATGAGCAAAAAACTCCAGGAGTGTATGCCAGGAGTTCATACTCTCAGAATAATCCAAGCAAAAGTCACCCCACTGCCCGGCTAAAGCAAGCAAATACATATACAGGGCAATAGTGATAAAGGAAGATGTTGGAAGGGGATGATTCCAAAGGAATCCTTTTGTCCCATGCAGAAAAAGGTATGGTATTGGAGTTTACCAAGAAAACCACATGTATATAAAATGATTGACAGTATAGTACCAAATGATGGGTTCCTCAGATCAGATGGCATTCAAAATGCTTCTGAGAAAGAGCTGAAGGTTTTCCATAGTACTAATAGTATTTATGACATGCCTAGTTTAAACCTTTTAGTATACCTTGCTGATATTTGCCATGCAGAAAAAGAAAATCCAAAGCTATAAAGACAGAATTACAGTGGGAATGTAACAACCATGATCATGGGAAAGGCCAACACAACGAAAGGTGAACTGAATCAATTACACGTTGAAATTTAGGCATCAGTTGATTGAGATGGACTGGGATTGAACACTTTCAGTCAGAAGATCACATTGATCATTACTTGGGACATGAACAATAAAGAGGGAATGGCATTTCTCTTATAGTTAGGAAATGTATAGCAAGAACTGTACTTCTACAATGCAGTCAATAAATGTGTAATATTAACTATTTAGCAGGATGATTGTCCAAGTTTATGCTCCATCCATAGGAGAAGAGGAGGTTGATGAGTTTTATGATCAAGTTCAGTTTGAAATTAATAGAACAGAGAAAGAAGGTGTGCTGATTATCATTTGGAAACCGGAATGCCAAAGTTGGAAATATTAAGAAAATAAATGTAATTGTATCATATGATTTAGGAAACTGAAATGAAGCAGGAGAACAATTTACCAATTCCTACCACCCAATGATTCTTCATTGCTAGCACTGTCTTCAAACAATCAAAATAATGCCTGTATATGTAGACATCTTCAATGCATAGAAATCAAAGTGGCTATATTATTGCAAAAAAAGAGTTGGAGGTGCTCAATTACAGCATCAAAGACATGGCCAAATCTTGACTGTGGAAATATGATGGAATGTAGTAGTCTGGATTCCCAGGAGTAAAAAGGTGCATTTCAGAGGAATAAGAGACAGCTCAATTTAGATATTTGCAAGAGAAAGAGGGTGAAGACAGTCCATCCATAATAATTATCAGAGTTTATGGTAGATTCAGAGAGAAGAGTGTTTCAACCTGGCACTTTTGTGGCAAGTTGTGTGGAAGAATCACCACATATCTTTCTTGGGTGGGGGGAAGGGGCTGACAGGAACAGATCACAAAGTGATCATATGCAGGTTCTAAGTTAAGCTAAAGAAGAAAAAAAAGTAAGCCAATCAGTTTCCACAATATGATCTTGAGCATATACCTATCATTCTCAAGGGGAACATCAAAAATTGTTTTGAAGTCCTGAACCTCACTGATAGAGAAGCAAAGGAAGTGTGCAATTTATTTAAAGAAGTTGTGAATGTGAAAGGAGACTGCCAAAAATGGAGAAACAGAAGATAGCAAACTCGATATCGGAAAAAATGATGGAGATTGCCAAGAAGAGAAGCCAAAGCCAAGAAAGACAAAGATCTCAGGAAAGAGTTTAATAAAGATTTTCAGAGAGCTATTAGAAAACACATGAAGCAGTATTGCAATGACATCCGTAAGACATCAAAGATGGAAATAGATTTAGAAAAAAAGGAAAGTCTTTCAAAAGATTTCTGAACTCAGAAAGAAGTTTCAGCATTGAATTGTTTAAATTGTTATAGTAAAGGATGTCAATTGACAGATAGTACTATAACTGATTCAAAGAAGATCAAATAAACATGGGAGGAGTATACTGAAATTCTGTACAGTAGAGATGTCAAACCCAAGATAACTAAGAAGGTATATCTCACAAGAACCCCTAATACTAGAAAATGAAGCTCGATTAGCACGCTGGTCATTATCAAGTCAGAAGGCTACAGGAATTGATAGAATAGTTATAGAAGCAAGAGAAAGAAATCAAGTTCTAACCAAGCTATGCCAGCAAATTTGGAGAATGAGTGGGAAACAGACTGAAGTAGTTTACATCCTACAACAGAGGATACAAACTATTGTATGTAGGTCATTAAGTGACCACTCATTCAGTGACTGTAATTGCAACAGTACTAAACAAGTGGTACTTACAGCTGGTCCTCAAAGTTCTGGCTGTTCCGCCATCCCTACAGTCATGGGATCATGATCTGGGCACTTGTCAACTTGTTTGTACTTATGACTATTGCAATGTCCCACAGTCAGGTGATTGCCATTTGGGATCTTGTCTGCTGGATTTCTGCAAGCAATGTCAATGGGAAAGCTGACAGGAAGGTCACAAGTTGCTCCAGTAAGCCTCCCCTGGCCCTGCTATTCTAGTACCACACCTTGCTGGGTACCTGTGCACCCTCCCCTGCTGGCAGCAACCATCCCTAGATCTGAAATCATGTGTGTATATTGTGGCAGCCACCTATGCCTCTCCCTCACCTGGTAGCATCTACTTACCTGCCTGCTAGCCTGCTTGTGAGCCATCTGGGACTTGCAACTTCTTGCTGGCTTCCCATTGACTTTGGTTGTTGGAAGCTGTCAGGAAGTTACAAAGAAGTTCTTGCTTAATGACCTATGATCCTCATTTAACAACAGCAACAGGGACTGCTGAATACTTAGGTTCATCCAATGCGGAGTAGAACCCTACATGGAGAGGGAAATTGTAGATGTTCAAAGTAGCTTTTGAAAAGAATGAAAAACACAAGATATTATTGCTGAGGCACACTGAATAATTGAGAACATCAAAGAATACCAAAAATAAGTCAGTATGGGCTTCACTGATTATAGAAATGTCTTTGATTGTGTCAATCATATCTAGCTGTGGAAGGCACTAGGAAAAATGGAAATCCTGGAGCATCGTATTATCCTCATGCAAAGCCTGTACACAGTCAGCAAAAAGCAATACAGATAGAACGTGGTGAAACAGACTGACTTCAGGTTGGCAAAGGAGAGATACTCTCCCCTTATTTATTTAATCTATATGTAGAGTATATATTGAGGGAAGCTAGACTGGAAGAAGAGTGTGGTTTTAAAACTGGAGGAAGACACCAATGTGAGAAGGAGGGGTGTACCATCTTTGGGATGAAACCAGTTCCTTGCTATTATGTGAATATTTTTATTGCAATTTTATTAAGATATTGAACATATGTTGGCAATATTATTTCTATATTCTATAATCTTGATAACTTTTAAAATTATGCTTTGCTTAGACTGCTTAGAATTAAATGGTTGAAGAGACATAAACGTGTAATGAGCAAATACTAAAATAGCTTAGATGGACAGAAGATAACTGCCAATGTCTCACTACACTAGTTGATTCATATGCTACTGAATGAGGCAAATGCTGTATTCAAAAGTTGTGAATTCATTCATTTGCTCTGGGATTATGTTTAAACAACAAGTTGCCTCGGTTAAAGAAAGCTGATCCTAAGAGACATGTTATACAATGGGAGAATGTCTATGGAGATTTTCAGTCACTCAGGTCATGGTTGTCCCAAAGGTGCTTTTTCAGAAGGCAACTGGGCTTTCTTTGTTTTTCCTTGAAGACATTTCACTTTTCATCCAAGAAGCTTCTTCAGTTCAGTTCACTTCAGTTCAGTTAAACTGAAGAAGCTTCTTGGATGAGAAGCGAAACGTTTTCAAGGGGTGGGGAGTCCAGTTGCCTTTTGAAAAAATTTGATACAGATGAAATCTTGCAAATTTCCCCCCTTACTTGAAATTTTTGGCAAAAGGTTGAAAATGTATTATTACAGTCATGATGACATGATGGTCAGTTTTACTTTTATTGCCAGTATAATAAAAAAATCCTTGATAGCCAGTTTGTCTGCTAAAACTGTTAGTTTTATTTTACATGGAAATTTAACAAAATATGATTGAATTATATAAACATGTGGTAGATCATTTCTAATAGAAAAAAGTTACACATCGGCATTTCTGACTTCTGTCCTGTGATTCAGCAATATTAAAAATCTAAGCAGTATGTAAAGCAAAGGAAGGAAAACTAAACACATTCTCAAATTATTTTTTAAAAATAATGACAATTTACCTGCAAAATGTTGAAAATACTCTTCTTTACTCACCAGCCCTTTATAAAAAATCCTGTCTTGCATGAAATTGTTTTCAACTATTTAGGTCAAATATATGCTCAAGGCATTTTCTTTGTGATTGTGGGTTGGACAGATGAATATTGCTTATATCACTCACAAACTTTTTTCCCCCCACAGGCTGCTGTTTGGTTACATTAGGCTAATGTGAACAGAACATGAAAAATATGACCTAATATTATGATAATAAAAAGAAGGCGGAGTCAGAGAATTGGAATATGCTAAATCTTTATCCTGTTGCTTTTTTCTAATATGGCTACTTGCTTATGCAGAGCAAGAATAATAACAGAATATTTCTCTCCACGCTCTAAATCCGAGCACTTCTTGATACAAAGCCCCCTTCTCTTCCTATCTTGTAAAATTCTGCTTGCATGCTTGCCATTTATATTATTATCTTATTCCTGGGCAACAAATATGAGTAATATTATTTATTTATGGGACTTATATGGCTGCCTATTTTATGGGCCATAACTCTGGGTGGCTCACAGCAGTGATAAGAACATAACAATAATAATAAAAACAAACATTCCTCTGACCAAGGAAAGCAAAACAACTTTTAAACAATTCTTTTCAATCCATTAAAAACAACAACAACAACCCCACATTAGACACTTGGGGGGATGTTGTCACTCTCTAATACACATTCCTAATTTCTCCAGCTCACACTTATATATACACCTGAATTCATGCTCCTCCGTATTCCAGGCATACATGTAATCACTGGCCCATGTGTTGGGAAAATCTGCCCCTTGTGGCTTTTGCTAGGCACAGCTAGGATCTACCAAATCAGTCCCTTATAGACCAGGGGGTATGTACAGTAGAAGTGAAGTGGGATTGAGCTTCACACATTGATTTGAAGGTTGCTAGGTTTTGTGGCTGAGATCCTGGACTCCACCCCTGGCCTTGGGCATCTCTCTCTCTGTGTTTTAGCATCTCCAAAATGGGCAAATGCTTCTAAACAATTTTCTACATGCATATTCATCATAAAATGTGTAATTGACACAATGGCTTAGTGGCTAAGACGCTGAGCTTGTCAATCGAAAGGTCGGCAGTTCAGCGGTTCAAATCCCTAGTGCCGCGTGACGGAGTGAGCTCCCGTTACTTGTCCCAGCTTCTGCCAACCTAGCAGTTCAAATGTACATAAAAAATGCAAGCAGAAAAATAGGGACCACCTTTGGTGGGAAGGTAACAGCGTTCCGTGCTTAGTTTAGTCATGGCTTTGAAATGGAGATGAGCACCACCTCCTAGAGTCGGGAACGACTAGCACATATGTGCAAGGGGAACCTTTACCTTTTATGGTCTGTGCCTTGACTCACTTTCTTGATGTTTCTCTTGCATATTACATCTATTTCTTGCTTTTTGACAGACATTTAGTCTGGATGGTGCTGGGCAGCTCTGTGACAGTCTATTACCTTTCTTGCATTGCGTAGTCAGGTGGTTGGAAACTATAATTACTTGTTTTAAGGTGTTTAACAAGAAAAAGGAAAACAAAACATCCACATACCCTGGAGGCACATAAGGTATAACCACTCTAGTGGAGTTTAGCATGTATGCCTCCTGCTCTGCATATGGAGGGCATGAGCTTCTCCCAATGGCCTTGTTTGATGATTTCACCCTCATACCTTCCCAAAACCTTCACACAGGAGAAAGCTGATTATGTCCTATATATGAACCTTTGTGCCTTGCCCTGGTCTGCTTAGGCCCGCTCATGTGTGAGTTGTGTGCCCGCGCGCGTGTGTGTGCAGCTGTCCTAAGAACACACATGTACCGAATGCATTCCTTCTCACACTCGCCACACTCATTCCTCTTTTCTTCCCTGGCCGCAGCCCAGTCTCGGATTCCAGGTCTCCTTCAAATCGCATCCCACAAAGCTACGGCACTTATAGCCAGTTCGCATACTTTCAAATGCTAGGAAAACCGCTTCCTCCGACCCGGGGCCCTCGGACCAGAGGACTCGGGGCCCCCGGTTGGGAGAAGGTCGCAACTCCGAAGCCAGACGCCACGCCACAGGCACCTGCACCAGAGACAAAAGAGCCTTCGCTCTCCGCCCCCTGGAGAAGCGCGGATCCAAATCCCCGCGCGCTTCAGCGGCTGCCCTGCGGTTGCGAAGGCTCCTTCTTAGCCCTCCGAGGCTGACGCTCCCCCGGGCCCCGGCGCAGAAAGGGTGTGCGGCGGGGAAACAGGTTCCCCGGGGGATGGGGGGGGGGTTTCCCCCTGTTTGCCGTAGGAGCAGCGCTGGGCTGAGGCGCCCCGCCGGCCGTTTTGATTCTGAAGGAGGTGGAGCTTCACTGAAATCTCCCTCCGTGGACTTGAGGGGAAAGAAAGCCCCCCCTTTTTTCCCCCCTTCTCAAATCGCGGCGTGCGTGGCGAGAGAGAGAGAGAGAGAGAGAGAGAGAGAGCGCTACCTCAGATTAGCTCTCCAAGCTCGGCTTCTCGTCGCCGCGGCCAGCGCTTCACGCCCGGCTGGTGCGTGGGTCACCGCGGCGCTTGAGCGAAGAAACACGTACCGTCCAAGGGAGCCGGGGAGAGAGCGCGCCTGCTCGCCCGCCCGCTGGGCCGGGGCTACGATTAGGGTTCAGTGGCGGATTGGTTTCTCCGGCTAGCCGGCGCGCTCGGCGACTTGTTGAGAGGCGCCGGTCTCCCGTGCTCTCGCTCTCGCTCTCTCCCATGGAGGAGGACGTTCTGGACAAACTCGAGGACATGGCGTCGGTGCAGGACTTCGACCCCCTCACGGGCAGCATCCCGGCCACCAAAGTGGAGATCACGGTCTCCTGCAGGTAAAAAAAAAAAAAAAAAAAAGCGGGGTGGGGGGTGGGGGGTGGGAGAGGCCGGCGCGGTCGTCGAGGAATGGGTGGGGTTTGCGGGTGACGAGGATGAGGAGGATGGGCGGGAGGTGGAGAGGGGGCTCCGTTGGAAGTAAGACGGCGGCAAGTTTCTCGGCGCGTTAGCTGCCGCGAAGGTGGCGCGCCAGGGGGCGGCGGCTGCTTTGCCGCCGGTTCGAAGTTTCTGCCCCGGCAAACCTTGGGCTCGCGCGGGCGGCTGCTTGGGAACTTGTGGGAGGAAGGAAAAAAAAAACAAAACCCCGCAACGAAACGAGGTTGGGGGAGTCCGTCTCGAGCTCGGATATCGCCCTCCGTTTTGCGGAGGGGTCAGGCTCGAAAGCTCGTGGCGGTCGACCCTCCTTCCCTCCTCCCCCCGCCCCCCCTTCCGCACGTTTCACAAATAAGAACGAGGAGATCGCACGCACGCACGTGCACAAGTGGCAGGGCGAGCCCGTGGGCGGGGTCTCGGGGAGCTGACAGGTAGGGGGCGGGGCTCGTAGGTTCGGGAACATCTCACCTGTAGTTACGCGAAACGGAAGAAGGGCCTTCATTAGCCCCCCCCCCATCCCCACCCCCTGGATGTGCAACTTGGTGTGACTGGTTTAAAGAATTCCTGGAGTGACTGTATTCCATTCCAAATAAAAGTGAAGCTAGGCTCTCATGCGATTAGTGGGGAGATAGAGAACAATCAATCAACTTTTGGGGATCAACTTTGTCAATCAACTTTGGGGGGATAGGCTTTCAAGGTAAGAGCTAGATCCTCAAGAGCTGCTTTGTCTGAGTACCCCATTATTTTCAGCGTTGCATGTATTCTGGTGGAACAGCTGCATGTGAAAAAAGTGGAAGTCTGTTACCTTCAAATAAAAATGGATTCTCCTAGTCTCAAGAAGGCTCTACTTTAATTCTTGTGTCTCGGCCAGGAAAGATCTGGAAAGTTGCCTCCAGTGGGATGAAGGAGTTCTAAGTTACATGAAGGATTTTACAACTGTTTCATATGTTAACAAAGATTGCCTGCTTGGTGAGGCTCCAACAAACTTAATTCGAGGGAATATTTTACCTAGATTGTGCTGTGTAATGAACTGTGAGAGACGACCTATTCTCAAATAATGAAATAAGCATGTATTTGGGGAAGAATAAAAACTCCTGGGCTATTAAACCTGCACTAAAACACTGTTTATTACTGTATGCCGAATGAAAGAGGCTTTTGTAATACCAGAAGTCTACTATTATACAAATTCACTTTAAAATTCCAGTAAGTATTACAAATTCACTAACTGACTTGGATCTAGGGCTTATAGGAAACATATGAAGTATTTCTGCATGGAGAGCTAATACTGAACTCTTTGATAGAGTTTAGAGGTGAGGATGGAAGTTGCTGAGGACTGGAAAAACCTCCTGGGTTTTAGCCTCCCTCCATCCAGTTATGGAAGCTCACCAAGTGACTTTAGACCTTTGACTCAACCTACCTCACAGGACTGCTGCTGTTAAAAAAATATATGGAGGAATGGGTCTCAAATGTTCTGAGTGAAGCTCTCAACCTCAGCTACTTTAAGATGTATGAAATCAACTCCCAGAATTTCCCTGTCAGAATGCTAAGCTGGTGAATTCTGGGAGTTGAGGTCCAGGCAGTTTAAAGTTTATGCTATTTAAAAACACTGACTTAGAAGAAAGATGGGATAAGAATAAAGGAGAATATTTGTACTTCAGGATTGGAATGGAGGGTCCTTAGTGGTCTCTGAGCTTGCTTGCTTTCTTGCAGATGGTTCATTACCCAAATTAGGTAACATCATTAGTGCTGAATGTCTATGGAGATTCTCAGTCATCCAGATCATGGTTGTCCTAAAGTGCTTTTTCAAAAGGCAACTGGACTTTCTGGTTTTTGTTTGAAGGTGTTTTGCTTCTCATCCAAGAAGCTTCTTGGATGAGAAGTGAAACACCTTCAAAGAAAAACCAGAAAGTCCAGTTGCCTCTTGAAAAAACACCTTTGATTTCAGTGTTGGGATAAGAGTCTGAGAACAAAATACAAACAATAAGATATTTTGCAACCTAAATATCTCTCTTTGGAGTAATTAAGAACCCCAGATTGTTACACATATGCAAATGCTGAATATGGTATGTGGTTTGCAGTATAACCAGGATTGATGTTTTTGCATATATGATCCAAGATCATCTTATTAATTGCATCATAGGGTAGATAAGAGGTTCTCACAATTGTATTTCATAGTGATAAATCCAAAAGAATCCACGTCACAAATTCCCATGCTTTAGACAGATCCACACAACAACCTTACCTTGGGGTGAAGAAGACCACTATCTGTTTGCAGAAAACATTTCTGTGTGCTATCACCGCTATAGCATTTTCTAGCCATGGCTGAGGCAACCTGGGAATGTCTTGGGAAGTGTTTTTTTTCTCTCTCTCTCTGTTCTCATGCTTCAGAAGCTGTATGCTGGCATTGTATAATGTGCTGAAGTGACATGATCTGTGTTGGCAATTGATTCTTCTAGTTTCCTGTGAGACCGTCCCTTCCATCTGGTTCCTGACCTGTATTTCTATCCCTCAGCTGTGAGGGAGATCAGAACCCTGGCCACCACAGCCACTTGCCCTCTTCCTCCCTTTTTAAACCACTTGGTTGTCTGGTTACCCAAGAGAATATGAAGCTTTCCGGCTGAAATGGACTAGGAAGCCCTGAAATTGATTAGGATGTCCTTGGCTTAATGCATATAACTGGAAGTCTTACAGAAATAACTCATCTAAAGCTTGCCTGACTGGGAATGTCCTTCCCAATAGCTGGTTCCCCCAGGATCCCCAGTTCCTTATTTCTTCTTTTCACATAATATTCTTTGGGTAATTTACATCACTTACATGGATGCCCAGAACCTCCCCTTTACTGAAAATCCAGTTATTCAGTGCTACTTATCCAATGACTGTCCAAATCCAGACAACCACTAGAGAGCAGCCAAGAGTTATAAAATGTCAAGTGCTTGCTGCCATCTATTGGTCAATATAATAAATAGGCAAGCAGCTGATTCATATATTGAAAGATTTTTTTAAAAACCCAGTTGGCATTACAATGGGAAAGAAAATGTGTGTGTATGTGTGTTAGTAATGATTGTGCATGTCAATTAGAGGAGGATTTTCACATTGTTTAACAGGGCTGGAACTTCAGCTGAGAGAACAACGAGCATCTCCCTTTGAGTGTTGTGCATTCAAGCTGTGCAGAGAAGAGCACAGCACAGAATATTCTGGGTGCATAGTAAGGGCTTGCTATAAAAACAGCAAAGCCTAGGGCAGAGTGGTTTCTGCTGGCTCTGAGGCAGGAAGGGAGTTGGGTTGATGTAATCTTCCAGGGTTTTACATCCCTCTCAGTAGCATAGGTACTGAGAGGGATGTAAAACCCTGGAAGATTACATCAACCCAGCTCCCTTCCTGCCTCAGAGCCAGCAGAAACCACTCTGCTCAGTACCTATGCTGTATATAACAGGGATGTCAAACTCATGGCGTCACAGTAGCATCACGTGAAATATCGGGACTTTTTCCCTCTTTGCTAAACCAGGTGTGGGCGTGGCCAGCAGATGACACATACGGGCCAGGAGTTTGACAGCCCTGCTGTATAAGGTATTGTATGGGATGGTCAGTTTATTACATGCCTCCAAGAAGCTTCATCAGCTCTGACTGTTATGGTGGAGGATTTATACTCCAAATGACCAGACAGCTGGTCATTTGCATTCTTTTACTGTGTTGTTAAGTCACCTGGAGGTTTATCTGTGTCATCAAGGTCACCTGAGTGGTGCAAACAGTTCTTGGAACTGTTGAAAGGACTGTAGATTGGAAATGATGTTGTATCCCTCCCCCTCTGTTGAGAGAGGGCTGTTCAATTTTGACATAGATGGCCTCTTTAACCCCTCTTTCAAAATTCTCTGTCCAAAATGTGAACTTTGGACACTCTTCAAAAGAGTGGCCTGTGCCTTTTAAATGCAGGTGATTTTAAACCTCCAGGTGACCTTAATGACCTGCTAAAAGAATGCAAATGACCAGCTGTTTGCAACAAGTATAAATCCTTCCATTCCCCACCATCCAGTCAGAGATGAAGAAGCTCCTTGGATGAGAAGTGAAATATCTTCAAAGAAAAACCAGAAAGTTCAGTTGCCTCTTGAAAAAGCACCTTTGGAACAACCATGACCTTGAATGACTGAAAATCTCCATAGACATTTAACTGTTGTTGAGTTCCACAGGACACCTTCCTAGCAACATGGGTAGAAATCTATTGATTTAACATGAAATTTACAAAGGAAAGGAAATTGTCACCAACCATAAGCAAAGTCTTCACTCTGGCACTATTCGGTTGGACAAACAAAAAAGCCATGAAACAATGAAGAAACTCAGCCTGCTTGCTTTGTTATCTCAGATGATGAAGAGCCCTAAATAAACAAAAAGCCTGCATACTGTTTTTATGATATTTTGGCTGGATTTCAGGTGAAGGAGTAAATTGATGTTTTATACAACCAGACTAGTCATGTTGCATGGGAAAAGTCATTGTAACATCCATTCAAATATAAGCTTGTATATATGATATATTCCATGTGAAATTACATCTGCATACCATAGAAGAAACATCCTTTTTTCACTCCATGCTAGTTAATTAATTTGGAAAAAGAAATCCCATTTCAATGCTAATATTCAACGATTTTTATCTTGACCCAAATACATTCCGTACAATCAGTTTTTTGTAATTCTTTTTTCCACAGACACAAGTGGAAGAGGACTTTTGCAGACAGATTGGATTCAGAGTATTTTTTAAAGCAGCAGGCCAAAGAATTTCTTTAGACAATCAGAAATTGTCTGCCTAATCCATTTGACAATTTCAGTACCTCTATTTGCACTGACACAAGCAAACATAGTGTTTGTGCTATGCTTTTGTGACTCAGGACCACGGTCTGTTAGTTCGGTAATGAAA